GGTACATTCAATCATATGACGGTTTGTATGGGAGCAGAGGTACCTGATCTATACCTCTTTCGGACGCGCTTTTTTAGCGCTACTGCGCGGCGGAGATAAGCAACATCATACTGCGCGGCTAGCATTGCTCAAAATAAAAAACTTTAACGAAATTAATGATTTTTATTTTTTTAATAATAAATAATTTCTTAATTAAAATATTTTAAAAATAAGTAATAAAAAAATTATTAATGTAAATATATAAAAATTTATTTTAAAATATAAATAAAAATAAAAATAAAACTTAAAAATATAAAAATAAAATAAATATATAAATTAAAATATATATAAAAATAAATAAAAAAATAATATATAAATTATAACGTATATAAAAATAAATGGAAAAACGGCGTATAAATTAATTATATATAAAAATAAAAAAAAATTTAAATAAACATATATAAAATTTTAATAAATTTAATTTAATATTAAAATAATTATTTTAATTTTATTATTAATTATACACGTTATATAATTTATAATATCTTAAGTTTTTTTTAATAATTAAAAAAAAATAAATTATTAAAAATAAAAAAAATAATAAACGAAAAATAAACGAATAATCGTTAATATAAATAAACTTTAAATAATATTAATTTTTAATTTCGTCCGGTTATTTATATATTTATAAAATTTTCGTATAAATTAATAAAATTAATATTTTATTTTTATTTATATATAAATTTTTAAAGCTTTAATAATTTATTTAAAATAAAAAAATAAACGATAAAATTATAACTTTTAATGCCGTAAAACCGTATAAATAAAAATATACGGAAAATATAAATTAAAACATTATTTTATAATAAACGGTAAATATTAAATATTATTTATTATTTAAAAAATAATACGGAATTAAAGTTATTAATTATTAAAAACATTAATAAAATAAAATAAAAATAAATAAATAATTAATTATTTTAAGTTTTAATAAAATTTAAAAAATCTTAAAAAATTTTATATATATTAATTATAAATTATAATAATTTTTTCTTTCGAATATATATAATTAAAAAACTTAATAATTTAAATTATAAATTTTTTAAATTAAAAGTTTTTTAATTTTTATAATTATAAAAAATTTAAATTATTATTAAATAAAAAATAATTAATTAAACACGAATATAACGTTAAAAAATATTTTATATACCGTTCGAACGCGTTAACGCCGTTTTAATAATATTACGCGGCGAAAATAAATTATATTATATTACGCGGTTAATATTATTTAATATAATATTTAAATAATAAAATTATAATAAATATATTTCGTTATTTAAAACATTTTATAAATATTAATTAATAATAATTAAAACTTAATAAAAATAAATTAAAAATATTAAAAAATTTTTTAATTACGTTATATTAACGTTAATTTTTAAAAAAATATTAAAAATTTTAAGTTTCCGTTTTAAGTTTTTTTTAATATTTTAATATAAAATATTATTTTATATTAAAATAAGGTTTTTTATTAATTATTTTTATTATTTAAAAATTTAATTATTAATTTTTTTATTTTTTAAAAAATTATTTATTACTTTAAATTTATTTATTAAATATAAATATTTATTATAAAATTTAAATAAACTTTTAAATTTATAAATAAAAATATAATAATAAAGTTTAAATTTTATATTTTAAAAATTTTTTATTATAATAAATATTATATTAAATATAAAATTTAAAAGGAAATTATATTTAAGTTTATAATAAATATTATAAAACGAAAGAAAATATTTTATAATATTAAATAAATTATATATTTAATTTTATTTATTTATGTTTTATAATAAAACTTTAAATATTTATAATAATATATTTTTATTATAAAAAAATTAATTAATAATAAAAATTAATTATTATTTACCGTATAAATTATAACTTTTTATTTTTTTTATATTAATAAAAAATAATTAATTAATTATAAAAAAACATTTTTATTAAAATTAAAAAAATTTTATATATATATTATATAAAATATTTATTAACTTTCCGGGTAATTTTTATTAAAAAATAACGATAATAAAAGTAAGTTTAATATATTTTTATATAATATTATATTTTAATATAAATTAATTTTTTAAACGAAAAATTTAAGTTTTTTTTTTAATAAAATATTTCGTTTATATTATATTAATTTAAATCGGAAAATAATTTTTAAAATATTATATAAAGTTTAATTTTTATAAAATTTTAATTATAAACTTAATAAAAAATAAATATTAAATAAATTAATAATAATTTTTTAAATAATAAAACTTATTAAATTTTAAAAAACTTTAATAAAAATAATTTCACATGTAAAAAAATCGGTTATAAAATAATATAACCGCATGTATTTTAATATTTATAATAAAAATTATTATTTTATTATAATTAAAAATATTATTTATAAAATAAAAAAAAATATTAATAATTTTTTTATTTAAAGATTTATATTTAATATTTTTTAAAGTTAATTTTATAATATAAATATAAAATTAAAAAATATTCCGGAAAAATAAAAATAAATTAATTTATTAATATTTAAAGATTTAATGGATTATAATAAAAAAAATTTAAGTTTTAAAAAATCTTAAAATTAATTAAAATAAAATATTATTTTAATATTTTAAAACCATGGAAATATTAATATAATAAATAAAATAAATGAAAATAAAAATTAAAAATACGTAACTTTTTTTAATATATAATAATTAAAAATTATAAAAATTTATAAATTAAAACAACGTAAATAATTAAATATTAAAAGTTTAAATTTAATAATTAAAATAAAACGAGTTAAATAATAAACTTAATAAATTATAATTAATTTAAATGTTTAAAAAAAATTACCCGGAAAATAATAAACATTAATAATTTTAACCGGAAATTAACGTTTTATAATTATAAATTTTATTTTAATTACATTCGTATTAAAACTTTTTAATACCATATTATAAAATTTATTTTTATTTTAAAAAATGCGATTATTTATCCGATAAAATAAATAATAAAAAATAAAAATATATAAACGTAAATATATCCGCGAAATTATATATAACGTATACGTTTATTAAAAAAAACTTTATAATATATTTTTATATATTAAAAACGGTCGTGGTTTTTTTATAAACGATTACTCGAATTATAAAAGTAATATTATATATTTTAATATAAAAAACGGGGAAAAATTTCCGGTAAAAAAAAAAAATATTATAAATATAAAACTTTTAAAACCGTTTTAAATTAAAATAAAAAAATTTATTAATATATATAATATTATAAAATTAATTTATAAAATTTAACTTATAAACATTTATTTTTTAACCCCGGTAAAATTAAAATTTTAATTTTAATTAAATAAAATATTTTTATTTTAAAAATTTAATAAAATTTAAATATTTATATAATTTATATATACTTTTATACGGCTTTAAAAAATTATAATAATAAAAATAATTAATTATTTTTAAATTTAATAATATATATAATTATTATAAATATAAATAAAAAATTATAAATTATTTTAATATTAAAAATTAATTTTTTAAAAATTTATAAAAAGTTTAAAATAAGTTTTTTAACGTGCGGAAAAAATTAATTTATTATTTATTTAATAATATTTATTATTATTAAAAAATCGGATAATTAAAAATATTTTTTTTTATTCCTTTTAATTTTTTCCGCGTTTTAAATATAATAAATAAAAAAAAATAATTATTTTTTAAAAATAATAAAATATTATAAATAAATACCGTAAAACTTTATAATTTTTATAATATATTTTTAAAAAAAATAATATATTTGTTTTTTTAATATTATAAAATTATAAAATTATTTAATTAAATTTATAATGGAAAATATATTAAATTAAATTATTTAAATATTTATTAAATATTTTAATAAATAAAATTAAAAAAAAAAATTTTAAAATTTTTTTTTAACCGGGAAATAAAAATAAATATTATAATTTTAAATTATTAAATATTAAATTAAATTAAAATATAATATTATAAATAAAGTTTATATTTTCGTTTATAATTTTATTTAAATTAAATCGTTTTAATCGTTTAATTTATAAATAAATTATAAAAAATAATAAAATTAAAAAAAAATATTTATAAACGTTATAATACGTTTTTTTTATTTTTTTTTATTTTAATTATTTTTATAATATTTTATTTTATTATATATATATTATTAAATAAATTGAAAATAAATTTTATTTTTTAAAGTCCGAAAATAATAATAATATAAAAATTTATTCGTATATTTTTATAAAAAAAATGTTTTTTTTTCGGAAAATAAATATAATTATAATTTAAAAATATATTTTTTAATTAATTAAAAATTTATTAATAAATTTTAAAAATTAATATAATTATTTTATTTATTATATAAAATTAATATAAATTAAAATATTATTTATACGTATTTTTAAATTTATATAAATTTTAATTTTATATTAAAATAATTTTATTAAAATAAAAAAAAATAAATTATAAATTAAAAATTAAATATAATATAAAATAAAAAATTAAATAATTTAAATTATATATTATTAAAATTTATTTAAATTAAAATATATAAATTAAAATAATTAAATATATAAATAAATTTTTATAAATAAATTAATTATATTTATTTTTATATAATTTTTATATAAATATAATATTTTAAACATATAAGTAATAATAAACCGAACCGAAATTAAGTAAAAGCGGCGAATGCGCTATGCCTGATTCGTTAAAAAACAAGGTCGATATAAAACCAATAACCCCCCGTTGGTCCCTGAAAATTCTCAAGGCTGGTTGGTTAAGGCAGCTGCTAGGTACTCTAGCCCGCTAGCCTGCGCTAGATTTGCAGCACAGCCCCTTGTACTATGGTAGCAGCAACAACAGACACGCAATCTTTGTACGAGCCACGTACTGTACATGAGCCCATATTATTTTGCACCTAAAGTGCTGCGCGTCAACCGTCCTTCAAGGGTACCTGTACATATACTTACCGTACATTACAGCCTATCGCGCCTTATTTACTGCGTATTTTCGCAGCGTGACGACAGCGATTAATGGGTCCCTTTAACATTTACCATTTGGCTGTGTATTTGTCCTGCCTCATTACATAATAATTTTAACAAACACGAAGGCTGCTGAAACGAGAACGAAAACCTCCAAAAGCAAATAACTGCACTTCTCATCTTTTCCCCATTCCCAGTTTTTTCTTGTATTGTTTGTTTTCCATCTTTCTTTTCCTCAGTTAGAAAGTCACCATCGTCAATGAAATAGGCGACAAAACCATCACACTAACATTCGTTACGTCGATTGGTTTACATCTCCCACATTCGTTTCGAACGTCCGTCGAGACATCTCGCTTCGTCGCATCGCATTCTATCGGGTCCAAGCCAAACTCTTAATATATAGTAACTCGGTATATTTAATACCGTGTTGGAGATACGACATTCGCCCAAGAAAAGAGCAACAAGAGGGAGTTGAGAAGAGGGGAGAACAAGAGAAGAAACCGGAAAGACGGTATTCAGTGCGGGCCACGTTCTCTCTCTTTTCCCTTCTGCAATTCTCATTACGAACGCTCGGATAGAGAAGGGGAAGAGGAAGTAAAAAAAAGAAGGGAAAAAGCGACCATGGCCGCCAACGAATACTACAACGATTCTTCTCGACGCTACAACACATATGAGCCGTCTCTGGCCTCCGAGCCACCCTCTTACACGTCGCAACCTCAGCACCAAGATCGGCCTAATGCTAACACAGTATCTCCGTTCGAGAGTGTCTTCGACGATCATGTCTACCCCACCAACTCGCAATCTCACCAGACACCCGACTCCTCCTTGCACAACTTGGACAACAGCCAGCAGACTTTCGCTTATGATACGAGATACCATGGCGCCGCTCCTGGCGATGTTTCACCCGTAGGCACAGATGATATTCCTCTGCGCCACCAGAACAACAAATCCCCTGCAGGCTTTGCTGTTGATTCGAACGACCATGTCTACGACACTACCGACCAGGAGGCTGGCCATCGTGGTGCCTCTAAGCGCAACCTACTGCGTTTTGGTGAATTGGGTATGTTGGGGTCCGAGAAGAGGAGAATACCGGTTATGGTCTATCTATTTTCCTTGATTCAGGTTGCCGTGTTTATCGCCGAGCTGGTCAAGGCTGCCCAACTCACCGGCTCTCCTATCCAGACCCAACCTTCATTCAATCCTATGATAGGTCCTTCGCAGCAAGTTCTCATCAATATGGGCTCCAGATTTGTTCCGTGTATGAAAAATGTCGATGGTGTACAAAACTATCCGTCTCCGGGCTTCGGCTGGCCTTGTCCCAACACGACGACGTCTGACCCCAACGATGGCTCGAACCAGTGTACCCTTTCCGAACTCTGCGGCTTTGCTGGTGTCCCCAACCCCGAGTGGGACTCCGTGAACGGGCTTAATCAGACCCCGGCACCTAATCAGTGGTTCCGTTTCATAACTCCCATCTTCATGCATGCTGGCATTATCCACATTGGTTTCAATCTTTTGCTTCAGCTTACCATGGGAAAGGAGATTGAGAGAGCTATTGGCTCTATTCGATTCTTTCTCGTCTACATGAGCGCCGGCATCTTTGGGTTCGTTATGGGAGGCAATTATGCCGCCTCCGGAATCTCGTCTACTGGAGCCTCGGGATCTTTGTTCGGAGTCATCGCCCTCACCCTGCTCGACCTGCTCTACTCGTGGGGCGAGAGGCGCAACCCTGGCAGGGAGCTCTTGTTTATCGTCATCGAGATTCTCGTTTCCTTCGCTCTTGGTCTTCTCCCTGGCCTGGACAATTTCTCGCATATCGGTGGCTTCATCGTCGGTATTTGTCTCGGGATCAGTGTTCTTCATTCCCCAAATGCTCTCCGCCGCAAGATTGGCGAGGACCATTTCGGGGGACCTTCGTACTCTACTGTAGGCGGTGGTGGCATTACCAGTGTCGCCTTTCCTGCCTTCTACAGGAACCCCGTAGGCTTCTTTAAGGGCCGAAAGCCATTGTGGTGGGCCTGGTGGCTTGTCCGCGCCGCGTTTCTTATACTTGTCATTGTCGTCTTTATCGTGCTGCTCAAGAACTTCTACTCCAACCAGAACAACTGCAGCTGGTGCAAATATCTCAGTTGCCTGGTGAGTGGCTCCGTCGTATTTTTTTAACCCGTACTCCGGGGTAATGCTAACGTTTCGATAGCCCGTCAATAACTGGTGTGATATCGGGAATTTGACTATTTCAACCTCGTCTACCACGCAAAAAAGAGGTGTCGACATATTTGCGCTCGAGCAGGTAGCCAACTTTTACTCGTGAAACAAGGTCCTCCTTAATCTTGAACATAGTCGATGAACGTTGATAGGCGGACTGTGGATTTATGATACCCCCACACAGGCCTGATATTGCGTGAGAATGTATGGTATTCGAAGAATGATGGGCTATTTGGAGCCTGGGTTAGCGCAGCGGACTAAAAGCTCCCTTTGAGTGGAGCCTAACTGGATGGTAGTGTGCGTTAACCATTTGGGGCTCCGACGCGTTGCTGCGTCACTATAATTGAATATACTGATGCGGAATGAAATCAACGAATCTTATGTACAGAATAATCATGGGTGTGCTTTGCCATATGGTTGAGCCGTATACTATGTAGTTTGCATGGGAAATGCTACTATTCGGCATGTTAAGGGGCGCGGTTTTCGGTGAAGTAAATGACTCGCTTTGCAACCTTAGAGGTAGCATCATCTATCCCGGGGCTCCTATATAGTATAGGAATTGACAGTACAGCACGGACTTTAGTAAGAGTCAATTAGGATGATGACCTGTGTGACTCGTGCTCGTAAATTGTGGTTGGGAAGCCCTCGGTTTTACCTAGGACATCTAGATAATAAAGGGCAAACCACCTCTCCACATATACTTATCAGGCAAGGTTATGCCATCGCTAGGGCCTGGTCTCAAAACCTAGGGAGAGAGTACTGGCCCTTGGGTTATTCATGTAAGGCTTAGGTTTTGATTTACGTGATTTGTGATACCCATCTTGAGGACCATGCTATGCAAAGAAACGGTCATTCTCTCATTAGTCGCATTAAATTAGAACATGGCTCCTACGGCATGTATGCTGACTGCGGCCTTCATTCCTCCTCATCCGACAGCAGGTCCTCTACTATTGAATCCGCCTCACTACGACGAATCGTGGAATTAGAGACGTCAGCCTCCTCTTCTATATCCTCTTCTCCCTGCTCTTCCTTGATCACCGGCGCTGGGACGACGGTCACATCTTCCGTGATGGTCTTGTCATCAGGGGCAAGGGAAACGCTCCTACTGGCGCTACGCCTAGACATCTTGTCTTGTTCCCCAAGCTGGTTCACGATTTTGCCTAGGTTCACGTGAATCTTGTAGAGAGCATTCCTGCTTGTGGCATCCGACAGGATATTCTCTTCGACTGCTACTGATATGTCTTCATAGAGACTACGAATCTTATCTTCTGAAGAGGCTGGTGAGATGTATAATTTCCCTAGTAAAGGCGCGATGACCTTTTTCTCTTCCTCTGCGTTACTGTTAGCATGATTGACGGTGTTGAGTAAAGGCGTGGCACTAACTGCTAAAGTTGCTATTCAACTTCTCAAGAATATCCCTCGCCAGGTCTAGATGGACATCTCCATTCACATTTTTCTTGTCTGCATCCATAGGGATGCCAGGCGTGTAACACTTTCGAGGATCCGTCCAGTCGACTAAACAGGCGCCGATGGTGTTGAGGCTAGCCATCTCGTCACCGACGTCCATGTCGTCGTCATCGATGCCTTCCCTAACGTTGTAGAGAGCATGTAGGGCATCGAGTGCCACGGAACCCATGAGCTCCTGGTTTTCAGCTCTCGAATAGCAGAACACGGGGAGGAAATAATTGAGCGCTTGCCTAACACTCTGGTTTCCTGCGGTCGAAGGGTCGAAGTAGGCAACTATCAGTGTCTTGAGAAGTTCCGACGATGTATCGTGGTCTGTTACTACGCGGCCTAGCAACAATTTGCAGACAGCAACAGTTGCCGCGCCCTGAACTTCCGGGTTTTTAGAACCAGAACGGAGTGCTCGGACATACACCTTCAACAGTGCCGGGTTTGCCGAGAGTAGTTGCGCTCCGTGAACATTCAAAATATCAGTTAAAATCTGGAGTGCAGTGATTTGGAGAGCGGAATGGCCCTTGCTAAAGAAGTGCATAAAAAGAGTCAGATTTTCTTCGGCGAGCGGCCGGTCGAGGAGTGAACATAGCCCTAGACAAACTAATCCACGTTCCCGAACCGGAGCTTCGTGGCTGCGGACTGCAGGGACAACTAGATTATTGAGCATGGACACTAAGTGGTCGTTCTCCTGGAGAGTCCCTTCGACGTTGGAGAGCATGCATTGGACGATGTGTAGGCATTTCATGTTGATCATGATCTCCCTGATCGCTTTCTCCCGGGCTTCCTCCTCGCTTATGCTAGTGTTTGCGCCGTGTTTTCCATTCTTAGTGGGGGTGCTGTCGCCGCTGACTTCGGAGCGTGCCGAATGGAAACTCTCCTCACCATCGCCGACTGCAGATTCATCATCGACAATGGTGTCGTGGACGTCCGCAACCGCCTCAAGCACGATACTGCAAAATTCCTTTTCGCCCGCAGTATCCGGGGCGCATATATCTCGAAGCACCTCGATGGTTAGTTTAGTAATCTCATCAGGCAGCTCAGGTATGGACAGAGTTTGCCGCAACAGGGCAAACATCTTGCGTCGACCGACTTCGTCCGAATAATCCAAGGTGAGAATAATGTGTAGGAGTTGCTCGACAATGAACTCTTGTTCGACCGTATCTTCTTCCTCGTCTTCTTCCGTGTTGTCCTGGCTGCTAACTCTCTTGATGGCTTCAATTAGGACATTTAGGTAACGTTCGAGAAAGAAGGCAAGCTTAGTGACCTCGGGAAGTTTCTCCTCGATCAAAGACTCGTACTTCCCATTTCCTTCGGTCCGGCAGAAGTCGTTGAAGCTCCGGGCAATGAAAACTGATTCGGCACTGAGAGTCTCCCAGAAACTGTCATTAAATTCCACGGCATCTCGGTAATCCGGCCTTCCTTCCCAAAAGCCCTTCATGGCTTCCAAAGCAACACCATTCTCAACGCCAGAGTTGACAACATCTATACGTTCAAGCAATTCGAGTAGCCCATCCAAGGTCGGGGGGGCAGATGTAGCCGGCTGCTCGCCATCCTCGGGCGGATTGACGCCGGCACAATCCTCAATCCAACGCTCGCGGAATAATCTTCCGGCAGCCTTTCGGACATTCTCATCTCTATCCCGCAGTCCCCACCGGAGCAACTTCTCTCGCATCGAAAGGGAGAGATGTCGGAAGTCGCCGAGTGCAGGTAGCAATCTAGAGTAAACTGCGCGGCGAGTGGCTGGATCTTGGTCTCTAGCCCTTTCTAGAAGATAGGGGAGAGTGTTCGGAAGAATCGGTAGGTTGACAAGAAGCGAACGCCTCACGTCGGCGCTGGGGTCGTTCTGTAAAACCTCCAGAAGCTTTTCGAGCAAGCCGGTCTCAGCGTCGTCATCACTATCATCCGAATTGACCATGCCCTCAACTTGGTTGCCGGCCAATCTTCCGAGACCGAGCACAGCTTGTGAACGAACCATAGCTTCCTTGTCGCGGATCCTCTTCAGGAGGCCATAACGCAACTTCTGGAATAAGTCGTCATCAATGGCGTCCAATGAGTTGATGACGTGGGAGATCAGTTGGGTTGATCTATATCTGACGAACTTGTCCTTAGCGGTTAGCAAAGGCAAGATAGCTTCCATGACCTGAGTGGTGAGACGAGTGCTTGGAGTTTCGGGCATGGTACTAGCATCGACGTCTTCTTCTCCTAGTAGCTCGTTGTCCTTGTCATTGGCATGTCGTAGGAACAAACCGACGAAGCGTATTGTCTTCTCGCCGACGCCCTCGCTCTTTTTCACAGGCATGGCTCTGAGTACGCAGCGCGAAAATTCGTTGTTGAAGTCGGTTTCATTGAAATCAGTAGAAACGGCCTTCTTAGGACGTGTCGGCTCATAACAGCAAGCCTCGTGAATCTTACGGAGGTTGACGACTAGTTTCCTATGAGTGGCGGTGGTCTTCTGCGCATCGCGGAATATTGCGCATATTTGCGTCCGCAGTTCATTTTCGGGGGCCTCTTCGGGGATGTCGACGCTGGAAGACGATACACGGGATGCGGCAGAGGCGCGCGAATTCCCCGCCGCGTTGGACGCTTTATTAGATACGGCAGCAGAGCTGCGCGCAGACCTTGCGGACACTCGAGCTGGCATGATCGCGGTATAGATCAACTACATGTGCGGATTCCAGGCGCTTGTTTTGGATGACTCGGGGTACAACGTAAATATTGTAGACACTATGCGCCCGGGTATAATATGATATGGATTTGTTGTGTACGATGGCAGAGATGAGAGAGGGTATCGTGATAAGTTATGAATAAAATTGGTGGGAGGTTTTATGAATCTTGGAAGTTATTATGTCACATCCCACATAGACGTTGTAATGTTTGTATTTGCGGCGCGACTTCCAATCCCGAAAGGGGTAGGTGAATCAATAAACTTAAGTGGCTGCTAGGACAACAGCCCTATGTATGTGTCTGATCAAGCCACATCATGGACACGACCCACCCCGCCCCGCATACGAGATAACATAGCCCCCGGTCATTACGGCTATCGATAGTGGCCTTATCAGGAATTTTTTCAAGTGCTTGAACCAATAACTTTTCTATTCATTTACTCGCCTAGTTACATACATACATACATCTACTTCTGTCTGTAAGTAGACCTGACTCTCTGCTACATATTTTGACCCGAATAGATTCAAAATACGACAGGTCAAAATGAGTAGCAATAGCGAGTTGAAGAGGTCTCGGGCGCAAGGTGCAGACGCGAATGTGCCTTCGAAAGACACCGAGTCCGCCGTCGAACCGCCTGCTAAGAAAGCCCGAGTCGAGGAGAGCAGATCTCTCTTCGTACGATCGCTTCCTCCTACAGCTACTACTGAGACGCTGACCGACTTCTTCTCCCAACACTTTCCAGTGAAACATGCTACCGTCATTCTTGATCCCCAGACCAAACTCTCCCGTGGCTATGGCTTTGTTACTTTCACCGATGCCGACGATGCTAAGGAGGCGAAAGAGAAGCTCCATAAACAAAAGCTAGATGGCCGCCCGCTCGTGTTGGAGATTGCAGAGCCTCGACACCGTCAGTCGGTTTCTGAGTCCGCCGGTACTGCTGCAAGGAAGGCCGAGAGGCAAGAAATGCTGGCCGAGGCTCGCAAAGCCCCTAAGTTGATTGTACGGAATCTGCCCTGGAGCATAAAAACCTCGAACCAACTGGCTGCTTTGTTCCAGAGTTTTGGAAAAGTAAAGTATTCAGACCTTCCCAATGCCAAAGGGAAACTGTCCGGCTTTGGCTTCGTCACCATGCGCGGCCGAAAGAATGCGGAGCGGGCTATAGAAGCAGTCAACGGGAAGACTGTTGACGGTAGAACTCTTGCTGTTGATTGGGCCGTCGACAAGAAGACATGGGAAGATCAGAAGCACCAACAAGTAAAGGATGATGCTACAAACAAGCATACCAAGTCCGCGAATTCGGACGGCGCGGCAGAAAACGACGACGCTGACTTGAGCGAAATGCATGAAGGTCGGACTGAAAAAGAGGATAAAGATGAAGAAGATGAGGAGGATGAAGATTTGAAAAACTTCATGAAGAACCATATGGAAAATCTCGAAGAGGAAGATAGCAGTGCCGACCCAGATGAGGCTAAATCTGAAGAAGGGATTGAGGAAGATGATGAAGAAGAGGATGAGGCTGCATTAAAAGACGAGCCAGCCTCCAAGAAGCCTCATACGACGGATAACAGATCGACCATTTTTATTCGGAACTTACCCTTCACGACGACAGACGCAGAGCTTAAGTCTCACTTCGAGCAATTTGGTCGGGTACGCTATGCCCGTATAGTAGTTGATCGAGCGAGTGATCGACCGGCGGGCACAGGTTTCGTCTGTTTTATCAACGAAAGCGATTTCAAGGAATGCCTAAGAGGTGCACCACGCACCCAGCAATCCGCGATACCAAACAAGAAGTCCATCTTGCAGAACGAGTTAGCTGACGAACAATGCAAATATACGATCGATGGTCGCGTCCTTCAGTTGTCTCAGGCAGTAAGTAAAGATGAAGCGAGCCGTCTGGCGGAGACAGGAGCTGCCGTTCGACAAGGTAAGGACAGAGACAAACGTCGACTATACCTGCTATCTGAAGGGACCGTCATGAAGGACTCTCCTCTCTACGCCATGCTTGCCCCTTCGGAAATCAAGATTCGCGAACAGAGTACTACCCAACGAAAAAAGCTCATCCAAAACAATCCAAGTCTGCATCTAAGCCTTACGCGCCTGGCAATCCGCAACATCCCTCGCGACGTGGATTCAAAGAAACTTAAGGCCTTGGCTCGCGAAGCTGTTGTTGGTTTCGCTCGAGATGTAAAGGAGGGCCGTAGACAACCGCTTTCTAAAGAGGAATCTGCTCGTGGCGGTGAAGAGGACAAGGAAGCCGAGCGCCGGCGTAGAGAGAAAGGGAAGGGGATAGTCAAGCAAGCAAAGATAGTGTTCGAAAACAAGGAGGGATCAAAGGTTCCCGAGGCGGACGGTGCTAGCAAAAGTCGGGGTTATGGTTTCATCGAGTATTCCTCGCACCGATGGGCACTCATGGGTTTGCGATGGCTGAACGGGCATGCACTAGACAATGCGACTGGGAAGACGCAGCGCTTGATTGTCGAGTTTGCCATCGAGAACGCGCAGGTTGTGGCGAGACGGAAGGACTCGCAAGCAAAACAACAGATGCGAGACGGCCAACCTTCCGATGAACAAAATGCAAAGGGGCCCAGCGCTAAGCTAAAAGGCAAAGACTTTTCCGTATCGAAAGGCAGACACCAGAGACCCAAGGATGGCAAATCGGCGAGCAGCAATACCAACACAGCGGCTGGCGAGGGTTCTGCCCGTGATACTTTGCAGCAGAAGATTATCGCAAGGAAACGGATGACGAGAAAAAAGAAGGCGCAGAGTCGTCGGTGAAATCCCAACCGTTCGCTTTACTTCAGCTGTCACTGTAGGACTGCTAACTTTCATCGAGGGAAATTTCACATAATATTCTAAGCTGAGGCTTTTGAAGTACATAGTGTATCTTATTGCTATTAAGTCGAGGGTCTGCCGGATAGGCATGTTGTGGTACCTGGAGGAGCCGGATGACATCTTACTCGGCACATGGAAATGCCCTTATTCAAGATAAAGGAGACCGTGAATAACATTCAAACATACTGCCTGCAGAGATGTATAGTTACGTGTGTACGTCATCTTGTCCAGAACCAGCCGTTGACCTTTCCACTCCCTCGAATACTTGCCTCGCCGCCCACGGAAGACGACGTTGTAGCTTCAGCGCTAGAACCTGCTTTTCCCTCGTTGAATGACGAGGCCGTATTTGGGAATGTGCGTGACCACGACCAACTAGTTTCTTCGCCTTGTGCTATCAAATTGCCATCCGCATCAAATTGTCGTGTGGTTGTCGTCGTTTTGGTCCCACCGCCGTGAGTGCGTTGCTGAACTGTTTTTAGGATCTTGCCGCCATCAGGAGTTTCTATTGTTTGAGAAACTGGCGCTGTTGCGGAATCTGAGGAATCTGAGGAATCGGGCTCCCAAGTTAATCCGAGTTTAGTATTCACTGGTTCTGCTCGAGAAACGTCTGTTCCTGCTCGGCTACTTGTAGTAAATTTGGATGGGGTGTTTGTATACAGGGCTTCTTCTGTATCTGCTTCCTGATACTGGGCCGTTTCGACTTCATGTTTAGATGGTGGCTCACTGTATCCAGTCCAATCGTGGTCAGATCGTGGGAAGTGATATTCCCAACGTGGAAAAGTAACGCTCGACCATGTGAAGATATGGGGTTGGTTGAAGGTCTTTTCCTGAGTCTGGAATATCCAGGGCGACACTAAGCCGTAAGATAATTCACGCTTGGCCGACGAAGAAAGCGGAAAGTAGGTGTCCCAAAGGCCTCGTCGTCCGATGCTATTCACCCAGTCCTCGACGGGCATGCCCCACGGGGAGTATTTGAAATGTTCGAACTGTTTAGCGAACACAAGCCTCCGCAGATCAGAGAGCGGCCGCTGATCGCTTGCCCTCAAGAGGTCTTCAAATGAATCTCGGAAGGTAAAGCAATCTGGGTAATCTCGAGGTGCGTCGTTCGGACGCGGTTGTGGCAAAGACTGGAGATTCGCTGGAGAATAAGGAGATGAAACAGCCCAAGAAAGAACATCGTCGGCACTCGTACTAGCACTCGTACTGGCACTCCTTTTATCGTGATCCGGCATTTCTGAATATGGTGTGGAGTTCTCCGACTTTGAATTGTCGGTCGACATGTTGTTGTTGGTCTTTGTCACCGTAGCTGTTGATGATCCGAAGACAGTATGAAATCCTCGTTGAATGTTGGTATCAATGTGCTTTCTGAAACGGATAAAAGGGTTATCGGACGGGTCATCAGTGGCCATGATGCCACTTGGCTCGAGTTGTTTGCAAACCTGATGAAATCGTTACACCTACGCCTACGTTGAAATATGAGTTCTCGTTTGAGTGTCCCAGGATTTAAGTATGTATGCAACGATGGCGATAATGATGAGAGTGGTAGAGGAAGGTTTCGCCTTCGAAAGCTCTAGAACCTTGAAGTGGCATGGAATCGACGGTAGTTCGATACTTCCCGTTGCACTAGTACGTTGCGACGTCGAACTTGCGCCTTGTGGGGTTATGGGAATTAGGTACTTGACGTACAGAGTACCTATCAGGTGGTACTATGTACGTACTTATAGGTAGGTCAGGTAGGTGAGGTGTGGGTGTCCCTGCATACAACCTTGGGAAATACCTGGTAGTTGCATATACCTAGACTGGTAATTTCAACTTTCAGCTGTCAACTTCGACTCCAGACTTCATCGACTTCAGACTTCAAATCAGTCTCGTCTTCCATTTCGACGCAACCATGGAGCATGGTCAAAGTGGCTTCTAGCTCGCACTGCTTCTTACACCGATAATTTGTCATCTGGCAAATCAACTTCCATGTACTACAATTGGACATGCACCGTCACAATGTCCTCCCACTCTCGACCGCGCTTCTCGTCGCGGCTAACCTCCTCATACCCGTCGCAATCATCCTCTTTGCCATTGGGTTCTTCCCCTATAAACCGTTTTTACCTGGCCTAGCCGAGTATAAGTCCTTCGAATATGGCCCTCCCCCTCAAGCGCCCTTCGACCGTCTCATATTCATGGTCATCGATGCTTTGCGCAGGTTCGTCGCCTAAGCGCAATCCACCATCTGATGAAGTGCGCCCATCCGACTGACTAGATTAGCGACTTCGTCTTTACAAATAACTCGGGTTTCCAATTTACGCAAGGGTTAGGTGCCTCGGGAATTGGAAATTTCGCTTTTGGTTGTCGTTGACACGAGCTTTCTAGGTTGATCTCCGATGGTGTTGCTATCCCTTTTACTGCCCATGCCACCTCGCCGACTATTACGATGCCTCGGATCAAGGCTATTACTACCGGCTCTACCCCCTCTTTTCTCGATGCTATACTAAGTTTCGACGAAGCCGACACGTCTTCTACCCTCGCCGTCCAAGATACTTGGCTTGCCCAAATGAAGGCGAAGAAGGAAGGAAAGCTAGTCATGTACGGCGATGATACATGGCTGAAATTATTCCCCGGCATCTTCGATCGAGCCGATGGTACTTCGAGCTTCTTCGTTTCGGACTTTACAGAAGTTGACAACAACGTGACAAGGCACATACCCGACGAGCTGCGCAACGATGACTGGAATACGATGGTCCTTCATTACCTCGGCCTCGATCATATCGGCCACAAAACTGGTCCCCGAGGCCCGAATATGATTCCGAAGCAGCATGAAATGGATGGGATTGTTCGCATGATTTACGAGGCCATGCAGACACAGCCGCACCTCCAGTCGACGTTACTAGTTTTCTGCGGCGATCATGGTATGAATGATGCCGGAAATCATGGCGCCTCCTCCCCCGGGGAGACTTCAGCAGCTCTGGTGTTTGTGTCGCCTAAGTTGAAGTCCATTTCCAAACCCGTCAAAGTCCCGGCAGAATTCGTCGAAGATTTTCAGCTTTATAACGTTGTCGAGCAATCCGATCTCGCCCCCACTCTGGCCGCTTTACTCGGGTTCCCCGTGCCAAAGAATAGCTTGGGCTCTTTTATACTGGAATTTCTACCCTTTTGGTCAGAGAGTAAGCGAATCCGTTCACAATTAACGCGCGCGCCTTTCTAACAAACATAAGGACATGATAAGCGCCAGATTCTTCTGCGAAATGCAAGACAAATTCTTGACATTGTAGCCGCGACTTATATCAGCTCCTCGCCCACTGGAGGGCAATACAACCTAGATTGTGCTCGCCCCGGTTCGGTTGGCGAAGAACTAATCTGTGAATGGCAAAACATCAGCATATCCGTTGATAAGACACCAGTAGGAGATATGGACGATGGCTGGATTACAGATGCATCGAAGGTGCGAGATGAAGTTCGAAGATAAATATATGACATTCTAACTTCATAACAGTGGCTATATAAGGCGCAGGCATTAATGAGCAGCGTGGCTAGCAATTATGATATGTCTATGCTGGCTTGTGGTGGAGTGACCACGGCGTTGGCCTCCACCTTGGCTATGTATGTCCTCTCGACCTCAACTTCTACGACGGCTTTAAGTCTGGCGCCATTCGTTCTCATTACCGTGCTATACGGCGTAATGATGTTTGCTAGTAGCTATGTTGAAGAGGAACAACATTTTTGGTACTGGGCTACGTCCGCGTGGTTACTTTACCTGACTATCAGATCGTAAGCACCGGCAATTGTCGTCCCGTCATATAATGCTAACGTGGAAATAGAAATCTAAGGATGCCGCGTAAGTCTCTTGCCATGGGCCTAATTGCCCTTGGCTCTATGAGACTTGTTCGCGGATGGAACCAGACTGGACAGAAATTCGCCGGAGAACCCGACGTTGTGACCAGCTTTGTTGCGGCGAACCCGCCGCTACTTTGGTGCCTTGTCACTGCGACGTACGCGCTGGTTACGTTTGAACTATTTAATGGCCTTGGGGATATTCCGGCTGTCGTCTCGGGGTCCGTAGCTTCAGGGCTCGCGACGTCTGCGATCTCCTTTAAACTCGCTTTCACCAATGAAGATGCGCCTGAATTGGTCGTTGGGCTTGCGAGGACACTTGTGGACATATTTGATGGACCGTCACTCGTGAACCGGGCACGAGCAGTCTTCCTTGGCCTTGGGCTTACTTCGATATACCCTCTGTATAGCCTCTTACTGTCGGAAAATAAGTCTTCCAAGGAGAAGGGTGAGTTTTGTTAAACCATATAATTAAGACGAGGCTGTATACTAACTTCTTTCTCTATTCAGCAATGCGCACTTTACATCATTTGTATACGTTGTTCGCGTTAACACAATCCCGAGTGACTAACATACCACTCTTCCTGCTGTTTCAAGCTATATATTTGTGCTTAAGCGGCCTTCGTTTAGACGTAACCGAAATCACAACATCCTCGCTACTCTTACAGTTCTCTTCTTTCTTCGCAATGGGAGGCTCGAATGCGATCTCTGGTGTGGATCTGTCGAGCGCGTACAATGGCGTTAGCGGTTTCAACATCATTGCCGTGGGGATCTTGACGTTTGTTAGCAATTGGGCAGCTCCAGTGTGGTGGACGTCGGCTTTGAATTTGCTACTGATTCAGAAAAGACAACCAGCAGAATACGGCTCCCATTCCGTGTACCGACAACACACGGCAATATTAACCGTATTCGTTACGGTGACTCTTGGGTTCGTGATGATGGCATGCACGGCCCTGAGAACGCACCTGTTTATCTGGACGGTATTTTCGCCAAAGTATTTATATAGCATGGCTTGGACCTTAGGTCAGCATATGGTTATTAACGTGGCGTTTGGTGGTCTCCTATATTGGCTTGGTCGCACATGAATGCATGTACCTACATACATACCTATATAGAAAGATTGGCAGGTCGATGGTTCGACCTACATATTAGTTAGTCAAATGACTAACGGGGATTAGAAAAGGGGAAGCTTAGATCTGAGTCAAAGGGTATTAATCGTATATCCCCTATGATACATAGCACCATATGCTTATATACTTGATGATCAACTCATATCCATATTCATGTGCCTAGGTAGATATTTACCTTCAACGTTGGTAGTACTGTACATATAGTGCATGTGCCTAGCATTGACAAACAACTGATGCAAATAGGTAACGCACTGTTTATGGGCTAATATAATATCCTTGGAAATACTTACGTACATACATACCTAAGATAAGTACTAGTTACATTTATGTCAGCCTTATTACGTGCAGGGTGGATGTGGATAGATCATGGATAAATCTCATAAAATGGACCCAGTTAATAAGATTTGGTAGTTACCGTTTCTGCCTTTAAATGGGAATCGATTCCCGCCATACCCCATACGAAAACCAATAGCGTAAAAGTAGGTACTTACTTACATAGTACGCCATGTAGGTACATACATATGTACTGTCCTGAAAATAACGTTATCAAAGTTAACGATCGAACGAGGATGCATGCGCGTTACCCAAAAAGCTACCAGACAGCTGGTAAAAATTGCGCTTCGTGACCCGTGTCATCTTACCTTCCTTCCACCATCCCGTTCGTTATCCCTACCCGGATAGCTTGCAATTTAATATTGTCATTACCACATTCGGTCTCTCTTTCATTCTGTTGTAATTTTTATTTACGCTCTCTCCATCCCCTCACTTTCCAATATCACTTTAATAATCCCTCCTTTATCTTTTTATTCGTTGTATATTGTGTGAGGTACTAAATAATGCATTTTGATCTGATCTGATCTTCTCGCCTTTCGTCATATTAATTTTTTTGTTGACTTTAGAGAAGAGTTCGATCGAGTACATAGATTGCGTATCACTTAGCACCCCCGGACGTTAACAAAATACTCGACGCGTCAACAGAGACTCGCCGGTTCCACACAAATCCGATTTATATTCTGAATGCGATAGCGACAGCGCATGCGATCCCTCAGCCGTGACCGTGCGACGCAACCGCGATACGACCGCATCTAGCAACGATCAACTACACATCCTTTGCATTGGGCCAAATAGCAAACACGGCATTGTAGATGCGTCCGTAAGGTTGGTCTGAGTCGGGAACTATGTGGCGGCGTACCTATCTGCTTCTTGTCCTGGTACGACTTTGGTTTGCTCTTTCGCCGAGCTATCTTCACCCGGACGAGAATTTTCAAGGTCCCGAGGTCATAGCTGGTAAGCGGAACTGAAGCTTAATCCCGTTGTCCAATGCATGTATGTATGTATACGTATATACTGACGGGCCCTTGCGCATCTTTGTAGGCCAGATCTTCAGTTACCCTGTCCGGCTAACCTGGGAATTTACGAGCGAATACCCTATACGCAGCGTCTTTCCGCTATGGCCGGTTTACGGGTTGCCTATGCTCCTACTACGATGGTTGTGGATCGGCAATGGCAACGACGGCGATATACCACCGATCGCCGTATTCTGGACGTTGCGCTTCCTGATGTTTATCATCAGCTTCGTCTTGGAGGACTGGGCTATTCATGAGCTGGTTCAGTCTCAGTCGTGGCGGCACCGTCAAGTCGCTAAGTTGCTAGTCGCATCTTCGTATGTGACTTGGACTTTTCAGACTCATACTTTCTCTAACTCGATCGAGACCCTTGCGGTTGCGTGGTGCTTGGTTCTCGTCGAGCGCATTCTCGAAGCCTCGGTACGTCGGAACTCTTCAGAATTCTCTGCATCCGGACTTCCTGGTTAATCTAAAGATGCTACAGGCTTCCTCTTCTCTGGCGGCGTCAACGGTCCTCGGAATCGTGGCTGTCTTCGGCGTTTTTAACAGGATAACTTTCCCTGCATTCTTACTCATTCCTGGGCTTCGGTTGATACCCCATTTTATAAAGAAGTAAGTATTGTTTTCTAAGGGCATATTCTCTATTTCTCTCGCATTTAGCCATGCCATGTTGGTTGCTAACCTGTGTTTCTTCTTGATAAAGACCTCTGTCTTTGCTCGTCATGGCAACTTCTGGGCTCTTGACGGCTCTAATCGCCATCTCGCTTGATACGTCGTTCTATACCCCCCATTCCATTTATTGGTCGGATCTGTACCGCCATCCAGTGATTACTCCGTTCAACAATCTGCGATACAATATCTCGCCTTCCAATCTGGCGGAGCACGGGTTGCATCCTTGGTACCAACATATCTTAGTCAACCTCCCACTACTCATAGGGCCAGCCGTGATGCTTCTGTTTATAAGGCCACATTTGTCTTTGAGACTTGCATCGGCAGTATCTGGCGTCTCTGTCCTTTCAATATTTCAACATCAAGAAGCCCGGTTCCTGCTCCCTGCTATACCACTTCTCCTCTCATCCCTGCAGCTTCCAAAGAATCCAACGTTTTTCAAAGTTTGGGTTAGTATTTGGGTGGGCTTCAATGTGATCCTCGGCCTACTTATGGGGATATACCACCAAGGCGGCATCGTGCCAGCTCAAGTGTTTTTGAGCAAACAACCGGACGCGACACAGGCTATATGGTGGAAGACATATATGCCGCCGATTTGGCTTCTGAATGGGAAGAACGCGGTTCTACAGACAAGGGACGTGGCCGGAATAGAAGGGAGTAAACTACTAGAAGAACTGGGGCGGATAGCTACCTGTGATACACCGGCCGACAGGAGGAGCCTTGAATACCTCAAGGAACCGAATGGCACATACCTCATCGCACCACTTTCGTCGATATGGCTGGATCCGTATTTAGATAATAAGGGTTTAGAGGGGCTTAGGTTTCGGGAGGTTTGGAGGCACACCAAACACCTGAACCTAGATGATTTGGATTGGGCGGAGGATGGGTTCTGGCCTACTTTGAAGAGGGTGGTTGGTAGGCGAGGACTAGCTGCTTGGAGAGTAACCAAGAGCTGTGGCCGTCCTGCGAGGTACGACAAGCTTCGAATATAATAACATTCATGCGAATATGCCATCTGTCGCGGGTCCCTAGCTATCCATCGGGAATTTGTCGTTCAACGAGACTACGAGGTTTCGTTTCGTATATGAACACGTGAAGGCGTGATCACCCACCTGCCTACGCATCTTTATTATTCCATTACTACCGGATTCCTGGTGTCTCGGTCAAATTTATGTCCTTGCTATATGCAATGTTAGGTACCTAAGTAGACATACGGTATACGTCCGGTACGTATCAAATGTACTATGTAGGTTAAGGGGAAAATGGATATCCCGGTGCGACCGTTAGACTAACGTAAGCCAATCAAGGTTTAGTTTACTATACTAACCGTAGGATATACGTACCTGGGTAGTAATTTCTAAAGCTTTAATTGGTTGTTAATCGTCTATTTCTAATCTGCATATGATCATTGATTTTGCGACCAGACAGACCTCTTCTACGAGAGCTAAAAGCTATCTTGTTAACCCTCACCTAGGCATTTAAGCTCTACGCACTTCGCGATGGGTGGCTTAAACTTAGAAGTCTTCAAGGTTAGTAGCCGCTGCTATTTTCTCTTTATCGGTATGGTATGTTTACTGTGATAGTTCGGCATGTATGTCATGTTCCCAATTGGCATCATGTACTACTTCGGGACGAATCTCGACGAACGATTCGCCGTGCCCGATTTCTGGCCCAAGCCGGAGCAGGCGAACAAGGTGCCTTTCAACAGAGACGAGATTCATGAAGAGGTACAACGATTACGTGCTCGGCGGTTATACCTTAGAGACAGAAGGCTTGAAACTGAGGCTCGGCAAACCCCGCCGTCGCCAAGTGAGAATCAGGGAAGCGATAGGCCCTAGGGACACACCTAGATTGGCCCATCCGGTGACGGCGGCTCAAAGCTCTCCGAGGTTTTTATGTATGATAGTAGGGTTGTCACGGTTGTGCCATGCATCGACATCGACGGCGCTTAGGAGTACAAAATGGGATTGAGACATCAGACCAGGGTTGCAAGACGTTTGCATTTCTCGAACCCTGATCCGAACACTCTGCTCTTCAAAGGAAAAAGAAAAACAAAGTAGACGAATAGGACTGTGTCGCACCGCTATAGCCTATAACAAACAGACACATATTGTACAGCAAATGTTACGGATTACATATCAAGGTTATCTTCTATTGTTTCCCAGACCTCTTCGGACACAGCTCCTTGCTCGACGTTCGCACTTCGGCATCCCGATGTTAGCATGGACCGTTTGTGGAACTCGGCATTAGACTGCGAATACTCACTAGATAGCTTGGACATCAGATTCGCTCCGTAACGCCGTCAAGAGCGAATTTATAGATGTAGCAGTGGCTGGATCATCAAGTTTGACCCTATCTGCTGCTGGAGACCATATAATATCAGAATCCAAGATCTCTGCGGAGAGTGCTTCGCTCATAGTTTGCGCCACTTGGTGGATAGCATTGGGCCGTGTCAAGAGTACGATATCGCCGTTTTCGTCTTGCTCAACATCCTCGGCACCTGCTTCGAGCGCCTGCATCATGATATCGTCGAAGTCGTCATCGCTGTTTCCTTTCAGAATGATGCGTCCCAACCTCGTGAACATGAATGCGATCGGTGTCATTGTACCCCCACATTTCCTGATTATGCCTCTGAGATCTTGTAAAGCGCGTAGCTTATTTTCGGTCTCCACTTCAACAACGATCGCTACGGAAGATGGCATCATGATTTCGACAGTAAGACTCTCAAGGCCCGCCCCGGACGAAGACTTGCCCTGACCTCGTGCGATTGCTATATCGATATTGGCCTTAGGCATACCAGCTATAAGTGCGATTCTAGTCAGATATGTTGACCTGATGTGAATTCGTCAAATACCTTTCTTTGCAGCCGCAATAACTGTAGCCAGCCGCGAGTTCAGACGCGGGTCAGGGCCAAACACTATCTTGAACTCCATCAGCGCTCGTTCGTGCCGCAGCCAGTGAGTGACGTTTCATATGAGATACGGACGTTTCGAGTAGAGCGTCAAGTTCTTGGAGAAAATGGTGTTTTGAACATTTTTCTTTGCGTCGGCAGCGCCCTTCTTATGTCGGATCTTAGACCAACGATTATGGCCGCTACTGAGTAACGAGCTCGAGGAAAATGATCGGCGACATATGGCGCATACGATAGTCGGAGAAGCCCACCGCGTCGCAAGGCTTCGGCTAGAAAACGAGTATAAGTAGGTAGACATGTCAACTGGTTGTTGATTAACTAGCTACGAAGGTATATATATATATATATAAATATATACCTAGGGTCTTTAAACCTTGTTCCAAGTAAGTTGCAGGTCCCGTTCAATCAAAAGACCGTAGGATCCTGGTACATACCGATGTAAGGGAGCCGTTGCCAAACTTTAATGCCTACATGTAGAATAGGTATGCTGTAGATGTGCCTGCTCATCTAGCTTACCTACATAGACTTTAGAGCTGACATTAACTTTTTTTCATGAAGTTAAATATATGTACCTACCTGGTAGGTTAAATAAACTTGTAGATTTTATGGGTCATTGCCAGCTGCTTAGCCACATATATACATATTATGTATGTAGCGAGAAAATAAGTAGGAGAGGTCACGGGCATACGGTGATCTGATTGGTTTATATAACCTGTTAGTCGTGCATAGTGTACTACGTACCTGGTACCTCGTTCTCCAGAGTCTATACCGCTCCTTCAGAATAGAGTTACGTGGGTCCTCTTTAAGGCCCATCCATACCTAGGTACATAATCTGGATATGTATGTACATACATAACATCTATTCCTTATTCTATTCATCTCTCTGTCGCCTTTTAAGAACGTTCCAGCCCTTATATAATCTTTCGCGATCGAAATCTGCCCCAAGCGCTCCGTCGAATAGGTCCATGATTTTCCATGTCAGCGCCAAGTTCCCCTCTTCGAGAGTCTGACGGCGCAGCTCAAGCCGCCGCCGTAGCTCCTCCGCGCCTCTCCTCCACCATTGCTGCCACGTCCAATCCCGAACTCGATCTCCAGAAACTCCAGTCGCTCCCTGCTGAGCAGCAAGACCTGTTTTTGTTAAACTTCGTCTCTTCTCTGAGCAAACATGTCCATAGCCTGTCAGCCGACGACTGCACTGCACAGCAATTCTATCTCAAAAAAGAAGTTTTCCAGATTATCAACCTCTCTACGCCCTCTCCTAGTCGAGTAATAAGAATCAACCTTGGCAAGATACTGGCCCACGTGTTCGGTCATGGCGATAGGAAGTTACTTTTCGATACCATAAATGAGCTGGTCTCTATAATATCTGGCGGGAAATCTAAGACAGAAACTGAAATTCGAACAAGACATGCTGCTGTTAGTTGTCTGGGCGATATCTACGCCGCCGCCGGCGACAGTGCCATTGGTTTGCACCAATTGGCTTGCGGTGCTCTAGTCAAGGTGCTCAAATCGTCCCAGACTCATGCTGGGTTGCGCGCCGCCGTCCTCGTTTCCCTGACCAAAATCGTCGGCATGGTCCAGACGAGTTTAGACGAGAGTATCGCCAGGGACATTTGGAAGCAAGCACGAAATGCCGCATCCGGTGACAAGGGCGCTCTGATCGTCGTATCTGCTTGCCGTTGCTTAAAGTCATTACTTAAACATACGTCGTGCTTTGAGGACTCGAGCGACTTTGAGAATCTCAAGTCCACCATCTTCAAGGCTATTGATTCTAGTTCTTCACACGTAAGGCATGCTGCTGCTGATTGTCTCGCTGAGGCCATGGTTAAGAGCCATTCCGAGTCCGCACCTAGCGCCGGTCCCCTGTCAAAGATCAAGAAGCCGAAGCCTAAGTCTCTTAAAAGAGCGTCTACCCAGCAAAGCATTGTCCTCGATGAGGATGAGGACGTCCCTTCGCGCCCCGGCAGTCCGGCACCTGGGAAGAAAGGCCAAGACCTCGTATTATCGTTGAATGACATATTTAAAATCCTCACCACTCAGTACGTCCGACTATCGACTACTAACAGGGCCAGGGCAGCTATCGGCGTTTGCTATGGGAGGGTTTTGAAGCGGTTAGGAGAGAATTTCGTCGAAGCCAACTATCTAAAAATTACAGAGAATTTGACTGTCGACTTGCTAGGCCATCAGAACATAATCAATAATCGGTATAGACTCCTTGTCTCACGCCGGATTGTTGACACCATCCTTCAGGTCGTAATAGGCCGCAAGATTCTGGGCGAATCGGGTCAAATGACCGTAGCAAAAGTGCTCGTCAACGACATATTCAAGAATTACCCTCAAGCGCTCAAGGAACGGCCTGAGCCGACGAAGCACACCCTAATTGCGGCTCTTGGAGCTGTCGCCTCGCTCATCGGGTCTCTTGGATCTGCCGCAAACAACTTCGCGGAATCCTGCCGAGATGGGCTCTTGCAGGTACTTCAACATCCCAGCTACAGTGTTCAAGTATCTGCCTCGTATTGCATGAAAACCTTTGTCCTAGCGTGCCCGCAGCAACTGCTGCCGTGCCTCTCTGTTTGTATGAACAGTCTTAGCAGAGAATTGTCTCTACTTGGAGGCGCGCGCAACTCACCGAGACGGTGTATTGGTTTCGCCCATGGATTAGCAGCTACTTTGAGCGCTAGCCCGGCTCGCCCGTTATACGGATCCCTTGATATTAACAACCGAGTCTATTCTATGGCTACCAACCTCCTAAAGTCTAGTGGTCAGTCTGAACTTCGCGTTTCGAGCACACAGGTTCAGGTCGCTTGGATCCTTCTTGGGGGCCTTATGTCTTTGGGACCTAACTTCGTTAAAATTCACCTCTCACAGCTGCTTGTCCTCTGGAAGAATGCACTGCCAAAACCGTTAGCTAAGGACAACTTTGCTCATCGCAACATTCTCGAGGTTTCTTACTTAACCCACGTCAAGGAATGCGCGTTGGGTTCTATCCTCTCGTTCCTCCAGTCCAACAGCCGTTTATTAACAGTTGACGTATCGAAGCGGATCGCTACTATGCTCCAGAACACCAGCGTGTTCCTTAGGATGCTTCCCTCGAAGAAAACCACTGATGATATTTCTCAAAGATTAACGCCTGCTTTGCAATTGCAAGATCTCGACATGATGGTCCAGCGGCGAGTTCTGCAATGCTATATCACGCTAGTAAATCAAAGTCCAGCCGGAGGCAGCGAGGCGCTCTTACAGTCCAACCTTCTCACCTTGGCTATATCTCTCTTTGCCGACCCGGAGAATTATGCGGCTAACTCGTTAAGCTCATCCATCGCCAACGCTGCAGGTACTTTTGAGACTATCTGGGACGTCGGTGATAACTCTGGCTTCGGAGTCAATGATCTAGTCCGCGGTTTTAGGGTCAAGAGACTTCCTGGGGAAAAGGAAGACGCGGCCGACGATCCGCAGACGGATGAGACGGATCCGGATGAATTGATCGACGACCTCCTTCTATCGCCGATCTGCCCTTCGCTAGAGCATGACGCCGCTGTGCTCTACGTGGGCGAACCGGACCTATCCCTAACCCTCCCGGACCCTCCGGCTACTGAAGTGGTGAATATGGCAATCCAGCTATTTGCCTTTGTCTTCCCACTCACCCCTGCCAAGGTCCAGGAGAGCGTTCTTGAACAGATTGCCACGTTCATCTCAGCCGGCTCTCTGCAGCGCGACCCTGGCCGTAAAGCGGCCATTAATGTCAATGTCGCCAGTGCTCTATACCTGACATTAAAGGTTGCAGTCAAGGAGACACTGTCTTTACCTGGAAATGTCACTAACTTGGCGGTGGAGAAGCTCCTGCAGGAAATGGCCAGGGGCTTCGTGGTTGATCCGGATCAGTACATTCGCAGCCTAGGTTACGGTGCCGTCGCCCGTCTTTGCAACGCGTGCGGCAATGCGTTTACCAATCACGAGATCAAGTACTTAGTTGACACCATTGTGAGCGATCGAGAACCTAGTGCTCGTGCGGGATGCGCTATGGCCCTGGGATCTATCCAGGCAAAGGTGGGTGGTATGGGTGCAGGATACCATCTCAAGACCATCACTAGCATCTTGATGTCGTTATGCAACGATCCACATCCAACGGTACATTTCTGGGCGCTTGAAGCGTTAGCTGACGCCGCCGACGCTGCGGGTCTTGGTTTTTCTCCATACGTCTCGGGCACGCTGGGCATGGTATCCCAGCTTTATCTTTCCGACACCCATCATCCGGAAGTGTCTTCCGCTATCTCTATGAGTTTAGAGATGGAATTGTCCACCACAGCCGCCATTACACGTTGTATTGACTCTCTAGTTAACGTTGTAGGTCCGGATTTGCAAGACTCGACCAAGTCACGCGAATTGATCCTTACGCTTGTCGATCAGCTGCAAAGCGAGGAAGATGTTCTGGTGCAGCGTGAAAGTCTAGGTTGTCTAGAACACCTCTCTCTATACGCCCCGGGACATATGGTATTCAGCGATTATGTTAAGACGTTACAGAAGCACCTCAACTCTGATATACCTAGCCTTCGCGATGTCGCGGTCGACGGACTTTATAATCTAATGAAGAGAGATTCCCGCGACGTGCTAGAAGCCGCAGACTCAGGTTTCGAGGACCAACTATGGCTTGTCCTAGACATGTCGCCTAGCCATGATGGAATTCGCAATGTTATTCGAAACTGGTTGCGTCAGACCTCTTTGACAGAGACAGGAATATGGCTTCTTCGTTGTCAAAACGTGCTCAAGATGACGAGGCAAAAACCCGTTGAAGACCGTAGTATTGCTAGAAGACCAACCGCCAATATCGACTTACAAGATGAGGAAGTTGCTGGTTTTGCCGCAGCCGCTGGTACTGCTAAAGATGATAAAGACGCCGTCTCGAGCTCGGAAATGGAGCCTTTGCGCTGGCAGGCGAGGACGTTCGCTATGAGTTGTCTCAACGACATATTCATACTGATCGGGAAAGATGTTGCCACAAACGGGGAATCGCCCGCACAGTCTGCTCTCCAGGCTAGGATTGCTGATGTTATTCGGATGGCTTTTTCGGCTTCAACGTCTAGTGTATTAGAACTGAGAATATGGGGGTTGAAAATTATCGGTGCAGTCCTGAGGGTGTTTGGCAAAACGCCAGATCCTGATTTTGACGAAGCGATGCTCTTGGAACAATATCAGGCACAGATTAGCTCAGCCTTGACTCCTGCCTTTGCTGCGGATTCTTCCCCTGAACTCGCCGCAGAAGCAGTCAATGTGTGCGCTGCATTCATTTCAACCGGCATCGTGACGGACGTCGATCGCATGGGTCGTATCTTGAAGACGCTCGTCACCGCTCTCGAGAACTTCTCGACCGAGACAGAGAATGTCGGGATTGGCGATCTTAAGGGCCTAAGCTCCAACGCTCAAGTTATGGTCAAGATGTCAGTTTACTCAGCATGGGCAGATCTCCAGGTTGCCAGCTCAGAGCAGAAGTACTTACTTGAGGTGCTAAAACCACATATCGGCACGCTAACACCGCTATGGCTGGCGTCTTTGCGGGAATTTGCTCGGTTGAGGTTTGAGCCAGACATCTCTATGACTTTAGGACCGCCGTCTATGTCAGGAAGCCTGGATACAATCTACGCAGCCCTCAACAGGGAAACGCTTTTGAAATTCTATCAGGACTCCTGGCTTAAACTCGTCGATGCCATCGCAAGCCTCATCGAACAAGATAGCGAGTTCGTTTTCGACGCTCTGGATGGGAAAGAGGCTGACGCGTCAGGAACTAACGGCCATTCTAAAAGCGCTGATATCAACTATCGCGATGAACCAGTTGCATTTTTCTTCGTCCTTTTCGGGATTGCCTTCGAGGCGCTTGCAACAAGGTCTGGCCAAACCGACTCCCTAGCCACTCAAGAGCAGACGCTTGAAATTCTCCAGGCTCTTAAGAAGATCTTGCATCCGAGTGTTTCAGGCCATGCCATCTACCGAGAAGCTATCTTTTCCGAGACAATGGATTTGCTGGACCGCCTCGTCCTAACGGAAGGTCTCGATGTCCAAGGGGTTATCGTCGAAATAGCTCGCGCCCTGTGCGTCGCCCATCCTTCAGCAAGAAAACAGGAGCAGCCTGAGGACGGCGACCTAAGTGAGGATATTGAACAGTTATTCGAGCTCACCAGGATCATCGTGCTCGTTCTATCCGGACTATTGCCCAACCTCACCGAGGCGAATCAGCCGGTACGCCACCTTTTAACCGAGGAGGCCGTTCTCCTTGTAAGAACCGGGCTAAATGCTATCGTGGACGCGGCCGAAGTGTTCCCATCTATCATCAAAACAGATCTTCACGCATGTATAATTCATATTTTCGCCACTATACTCGCGACGCCTTCCTGTCAAGAGGTTATTGTTCCTCAAGCCCTGCCGATATTTAAGAGGTTCGTGGCAAGCATGACTACTTCTCGTAGCTCGGCGGAGGGAAAGTCGGCCACGGACCTGCAGCTACAGGGCTGCCTACGCCGATACCTATCCATCTACCTCAATGCTCAAAAACGTGAGGCTCCTACCTCTCTGCAGTGCGTCAAAAACTGCCTGCTCGCTATTACGATTCTTTTCACCGGAGGCAGTAATCGGCTTGCAGCCGGCGATCGTTTGGTCGCAAAATTCCTAGATGAAGTGGTCGACTGCCTAACAGATCGCATGGTGAGTATCCTTGCGCGACCTACGTTATCCCGTTTCGTCGCCTTGCTAACTGTATCGCAGACAGCGAAGATCGCAGCGAACTGCGTTCGGTCTCTCTTACTACAGCCTTCTCCCACGCACGCCGACCAATCTATCGCTCGGTACCTTTTACCTCGCCTCATCTCTTTCATAGTTGATACAGAGCCGGAGGACCCGGAGGATGCTCGCAAACTTGTATCGCACACCCTAACGCAGTATGTGGCGACCCTGGGGAGTGGACACACTCAGATTGCCATGTCTATCGTAGTGCCAGCAGTGCTTTCTCGTGCCTCTAGCGAAGGCGCCGGAGTGTACCCAGAGACGAGCGCGAGATTGCTGGAGCTAGCTTCGGTAGACCAGGCGGGCTTCAGAGGTGTCGTAGCAGCAATGAGCGAAGGCCAGAAGGCCTTCATGGAAGAGGTTATCCGTTCTGGTCGGCAGACGGGTGGCCCAGCGAAGGATTCTAGCAACACAGGCCAGCCGACCATCGCGCTGAAGATGAACTTTGGAGACTGAGATGGAAAGAGGTTAGATAAGACGGGATTGTCATACATATAGACAAATGGTACTATGTTGAGTCATATCCGCCGCCATCTACGTCCTGGGTTGCCCGTATTGGGGATTTCGAGGACTACCTAGATACTGTAACGTGTCGAGTAATACAGTACTTGAACTGTCTGGTCACGCGTGTTATCCGGCATCAATGTTGGCACATTACAATCATGAGTGAGCGTCACTCTTTGTAGGTACGTTAGCTTGCGGTCCATTGTAAGTCCATTCCGTTATATGTAGGTAGGTAGGTAGACATATAAATGGAATAGCCTTTGATTGCCAACTACATCGCGTGAATAAGGTCAATTGTAGGTACCTTTTTAAGATCGTGGCCATCCACTACGAGACCTCCCCTCCCTTCACTCTTCTTTCTCCCTAGCCTCCTTTTTTTCCCACCTTCCTTTAATCTCCATGAGGCAACCGCCTTGAAAGACATCTAAGAACCAGGCAATGTTCCGTAAAGCTCTGAATGGCCATCACTATAGATCAGTCGGTGTTTCGGTAGGTGACTCTTATAAAATCTGGCTTGGACTCGTAGAGGTCGAGAAGCTAAGCTATAGCTGAGGCATGTCCGGAGGCAGGTCTATGGCGGGAGCAGGCGAGGTCTTGGTAGGTAGGTTGAGGGGACGCTCCTTCAAGACGTCGGCAGAGGGTAGAGACGGCGCAGAGATATCTTCGGAGCAGTCGTGGCAGTCCTCGTCCAAGGCCGTGATTATGACTGCAGCCGGGCCGCTACAATGGTGATACGGGTCGAGGATGGTGTCCGGACACTCGAATGTGGTGGTTTCGAGGCAGCCACAGCGATAGGCAAACCGAACCGATGAACACATGGTGAGTGTCGTAGTCAGTCAGATATGGCGACGAGATATGGAGATAATATGGAGATGCGATGTGAAGATATGATGCGGCAATGAGGTGCGGCACGGCGATGAGAGATGGAATTGATGTGAATAGATTAAATTGTGAATAAGTTGAAGCTCGGAAGGCATGGCTAAACCGGCGTTTAATACTGTTCGTGGCATGGTCGAGGCTTCTGCAACTGCCTCTGCAACTGCCTCCGAAGAGGCAACGTACTTACTCTCTTTACTAAGATCGTGGTTGCACTTTAACTTTGTATCACCTTAATAGGTAGGTGAGGTAGGAACCTGCTTGTGAGGAAGATATGACAATGACAGCCCTGGGGAAGGTGTGTTCGCAGGTAGTAGCTCTTACTGTCTTGACTTGCCATGTCCCCGTATTCTCACCCCCTTGACCCCTATTCACACTTCGTCCCCAGTTGCGGAGGCACAAGTCTTTGCGTCTAGGTATTTCATTTCTATGCATTGTCGAGGATAGCAAACAAATCCTCGAATCGCACTTTAGTCAACCCATAATAGCCAACCATCAATGCATGTAGAACCAGCCACGATACAGAAGGCCATCAAATGCTTTGCATGATCTCCAATGCAACAACCATAATATACCATCAAGTCAGATCAAGCATCTTAACGGCCCCTTTCCAACGATACCATACTGCTGCGGTCAGCGCCCAGGGTCTTATCGTTTGCCGCCTGCTCTTCACACGTCTCTCGAGCTGTGGTTGACGGTTGTAATTCTGGTAACAGTGTTCCTGCTGATGGCTGGCTGGCTTGACCGAAGCTGTCTCTTCGAGGGGAAGATGTTGCTGTAGATAGTTCCTTTCGTGTTGGTGCTGCTTATCTATACCGATGCTCTTCACCGTTATCTTCGTTCTCAGCTGCGACATCCTCCCGTCTCGGAATAGGGGGCAAAGACGGATATTCCAGTTGTCTGGATCTGCTGGCATCCATTAATGGCTTGACCTTCAGTTTATCTAGGGGCACGTCCGTTTGCCCCGTCCGAACTTTATAGCTCGCAAGGCCTAGCCTCAGACGCAACTTTTCCGCTTTCTACGCCAGATATCAGCATCGAGTACTTCTGCAGACTGTCAAGCAGTCTTTCGTTCAACTGACCTGCCGAGCTTCTTCACGGCTCATCGACGGTAGCCGACGAGGAGATATCGGTGGACTGCGCACACCCACTTCGGCATCTGGTTCCGTTATCGTCGTTGTGGCCTGGGATGTGTCGATTACCGAGTTGTCGAACATCGATACCTCGTCGGGTGACTCTGGTCGTCGGTTCTCTACATATAAATCACGATCATTGATATCGTCGTCATTAGTATTATCATTTCCATTTCCATTCCCGTTCCCATTGTCAACTTCACTCTTATAGTCGTAGTTGTCGCCCGAGTCCTAACTCGTCAACATTAGTTTGCGTGGTGGATGCAAGGCGTGTTACATGATATTCGTACCACTTTCTTGCCTTGCTCTTGCGTAGTTATAACTTCAGCATCCTCGCCAGCAGAGACGCGCTGTCTCTTGGCCGGTTGGTCCAGTAGATATTCCTGGGGTTGATTGGTGGTTTCTGGAACATCGACAGGTCTCTTCGCGGCACCACAGTCGAGCTGGTTCAAGGCATCTGGCGATACGGTTGACTTCGATGTTCCATGCTCCAAACATCCTGGGTTTCTCGCATTACTATCGATGGGCTCTAAGGCACGTCGCTTGCTAGGTGATATATCCATTGGATCGTCTCCGTCGTTCAACCTGTAGGCAAAATACAAGCAAATAATATCGTGATATCGACTTCCTTCAGAATGGAAAAGTCAAAGATTAAGAATTGCGAGGTTATGATGTTCAATGTTGGTTACCAAGATTGCCAAGTTCAAGTGTTATTTGCGCCAGCCAGGTACCTACGTATTAAGCATTTAACGTCGCGCGCCGCGCTTTCTTAGAATCGCGTCTCAACCTTGCAAACTTTATATTTCATATTTCATATTTTATGACATACCTTATGCACTGTCTAATATTTACTTTTTACTCTGTTAGGAATGGACTGGTTGCATAAATTAAGCTCATCGTAACCCTGGCTTCTGGGGATCCTTGCTAGACACTCAGGTACCCTGAACCAAGATCAAGACTATCTACCCCGCTGTCCACACCATAACGTCGATCGGTCTGCTTGGTGACGCTATCCCGCTTTCCCGCCATCTTTGTCGCGTAGGTCGTTGACATCGTCTAATTAGGTATTAGTCATGAAAGCTTGATGCCATTCTTAAAACTAGGTACGTATGTACTTCCAGAGGTACCTTATAACATACATACATATATATGTATATACTACCTCTCTACTTGGATAGCGAGTATTAGGCACGAGGAATATTGATGGGTCCCTTTACATTATATACGTATGCACGCTGGCACAATGAAAATATCAATGATAATCAAAATAGCTTATTTTCGCTGTTCACCTATCTTTTTTATGGGTATCGTGATGCTGCCAGCTCTATATAGCTGTTTCCTTGAAGACGTGAATTTGCCGGATCGCCATCATACCAGGCAAAGTTTTCCGAATGCCTGTCCAGTCCAAACCTCTTCATTGGGTCCATAAAGTACGCCAAAAGGGGGGAAAAATAAGAATAATCCAGGTGAAAAAAACACTATTTCCGCGGCGCCCTTCACCTAAAGTTCTCCCGGCCGATCCGTGGCTCTGTACGGAACTCGGCTTGCCCATACCGTTGCCGCGCCATTCGCTATAAAAGGAGAAAACCAGGTATTATCATTCCCAGGGTGCATTATCTTCATAAAATCAGACGTCTTACGTGGGACACACCGGATAGGCGTCGTCGCTCATGTAGTATCCATCGAGTAGAGGCTCGTATCTAATTGGAACTCCTTGTTCCAGTCAATCTGGACGTCGTCCCAAGAAAACGGCTGGAATGAATTCTCGCCAGCGGCCGACAGGTCCATATCGCCAGAATCAATATCCACGTTGGGTCCGCCTCCGAAAGGGTTCCACATATCGAGTCCCATATTCAGTTGAAGGTTAAGAGAGACCCCTTCCGAAACGTCGCTATTTGGTTCGGAGGATGCGCTATCCTTGCTGGATTCGGGTGTGTCATTCGGTGTTATTGCCCGATAGACGTCCATGTTCGAAATCGCGCCTCCACCACCACCCTCAAGACCGCCTAGGTGGTGGAATAAATCTTGTGGATCTACCGTCATCATCGGCCAAGCACCATCTGCAGTGGGTGCCTGTGACCGCCCGTCGTCAGGTTTGCTAGATCCGGTAAGATTGTCCCCGGCTTTAACCCCTGAATCAGGCTTTGGTGTGCTGATTCTTCCGGCGATCGTCTTAGCCAAGTCCGCAGACTTGGAACCTGCTGCGCTGCCCTGCCTCCTCATTGACGGTTCTCGAGACATTGGGGTAGCATCAGCTCTACTAGTAGGCGTAAAGCCTTGCTTCGAGGCATCGTGTACCATAGGAGCCGAGGTCTGCGGGACACCTGGGGCCGTCATCGATGCGTTCGGCAGCGCTTTCTGCTTGCCACTCGGATCTAATCCCAGCGCAGTTGCATGGCTCTCTGTCACGAATCGGATGGGGTCTTCATATGGCTTGACATGTTCCTCTTGGATGTGATTTTGCCTAGCTTCATCAGTAGCAAATCCTACACCGTGTGCCTCGCAGCTCGGGTCGGGACACTGAAACTTGAGCGCCGCCGCCTTCACTTCTGTGGATGCTTGTCGTTTCACCATCTCAGGGGAAGGCGCCTTTTGTACTTGAGGAGATGAATTGGCGCTTGGGCCGCCTGAAGCGACACCAGATTGTGCCCCGGTCTTAACCTTCTTGCGAGCAGGCAAATGCAGGTCCGCCTGCGTTACAGTGGGCTTACCAATATACGTGGGCTGACCATTCGGCGACTGGGCTCCAAATGCAAATGGAGGTTGCGAGGTCGTTGGTGCGGCGGGTGGTTGCCCACTCCTGCTAGCGGTCCTTTGGTGCATCCTGTTAAGAGCCTGCGTTTGCTTCTCGAGATTGGCTGCGTTGAGCGGAGCCGGCTGGCCAGTCGGTGGTGTAGCCATATTCTCATTGGTACCTTGTTGAGGCCCAGACTCTGAGGCATTCTGCGGCTGGTTGACACCCCTCTTCATGATTTGGGGATATTGGGAGGCAACATCCCTCGCCATGCCCTCCAGCATGGCTCTCACACCATCCAGATCTTGTGGCCTTAGTGAAAATGCCTTTTTCAAAGTAGTCATCTTCTCGCCGTCCGCGAATTGCTTGACCAAGCGGAGTCGCTAAATTAACGTCAGTTATCGATCTTGTCCAATATATCACATAAAACATACCATTCTAAAAAACATCCTGGCCCGGTTATCGTCCCTGGTTAACGTGTACCATCGGCCTAAGATTTTGCTGATTTTGCTCATCTCTCCCACCATGGACTGGATCTTCTGGCCCATATCTTGATACTGTTCGACGGACATCGGAATTTCGTGATAAGACTCTTTAGCCGCAGTCATATGTTCTTCTTGGCCGATGGCCTTAAGACGCTGCATCTCCTCAGACATATGGGATTGCTGTACGCCTGCACCACCTGCAGCCGCAGCTTGCCTATTCTTCACCATAGCCTCGAACTTGGCCCTCTGTTCAGGCGAGAGAGTAGCCAACTGTGCAGCGCTTAGTTGAAGTGTCTGAGACGCGTTTCCGGATGCTTTGGCCTGTTGAGAAGGTGGTCGCTGAACCGGTGTGCTTGAAGGGTTGGGTACCTCTACTACGTCGTCGGTGCTTGCACGTTTCATGCCAGTCTTTTGAGGAGGGGCTGTAGGTTGAGGTGGTTGCGGCCGGTTGTTCTGGGGTTGCCTATTATTCCGTGCAGGTACTGCGGGACCTGTCGCGTTGGGGTCGAGTCCTGCATTCTGGTGTCGCTGTTGCAGCACGTTAGGCGCAGCGGCTGGCGGGGCTGATGTAGCGATGTTCGCATTTCCCGGTTGGGAAGTATGGGGAGTCTGCATTGAGACATTCGGTGCCTGTCCACCTTGCCCAGATACTTGCCCAGTTACTTTCGACCGAATACTATTCAGCTTCATCTGGAATAAGGCCGCCCGGAGCTTATCATCCGAAAGCCCCTTGAATCTTTCGTGGTTCCTAGCGCTCTGCATCTCCTGAGCAGTGATGGTAATCCCTGGAAAGGAGCCTACATTGGCACCAGGATTTGCGCCCATTGGCATTTGTGCATTGGGAGGCTGCGACCCCTGCGGAGGCATATTGGGCTGAGGCATCTGGTTGCCCGCTGCGGCCCTCTGCTTCAATATCGCCTGGAACTGGTTATTCTGGACAGTCTGAAGCTGCTGCATCATAGCCTGAGGCACGTTCTTTTGCATCAAATATTGCTTAAGCTGGGCCCATTTCTTGATTTCTTGTGGAATTGGCTGGCTTCCTCTTATCTGTTCCAGTATTCTCGGCGGTACGTCCATCGAATCCATGAATGCATTGGTGTCCGGAGATCCTTGAGGTCGGTTCTGATTGTGCATAGTATTGCGCATTCTGTTTAACTGATGCTGGAGGAGCATCTGGTTCTGAGCATTCATCGGCATGTTAGGGTTCGGTTGCTGTCCCACATTATTCACTGGGCCAAATTGAGCCATCGGGTTGTTCTGAGCAAACTGATTTGGCTGAGGTTGACCACGTCCGGCCATCTGGCCGGGTCTGGAACCACCCGACCATTTCATGAGCACCTCGTTCTTCTTCTCCGGTGGCATACTCAGAAATATCTGGCGCTGCTCGGGAGTCATCTGGTTCATGATGCTTGCGATAATGTTGTTTGGGTTTCCACCCATTGGTGGCCGCTGGTTACCCTGATTAAAACGCGGATCCAGTCCTTGTGCAAAAGGACCGCTTGGCTGGCCCATCTGAGGTTGTCCATCGCCTTGGCCCATACCTATAGGGGTTCGGCGAACTGGAGTATTTAAAGTGTTCATGCCAGGACTCTGTGAAATAGGGCCAGGGCCGTTTAATCCACCAGGCTGGCCCTGCATCTGTTTGGCCTGGGCTTGCGCTCTGATCTGTGCTTGCGATTGCGCCGCCCTCTGGTCCATCTTCAGTTGTTGAGCTTGCGGCAGATTGAATTGCTGCTGCATCTGATTAGGGATACCCGGTTGATTGGGACCCGGATGATTACCAGGGTTGGGGCCTTGAACACCGCCCATCGGCTGAGGCGTGGCATTTCGACCAGGACCATTACTCGCTGGTACTACCATCTGACCTGCTTCCTGGGCGAGCAAACCCGCTTTCTGTTGGTTCATTATACTCTCCACGTTGGAGAAGGGGCCGAACTCGCCGTTAGTAACCCCGGCCATCTGTTGTCTAGACTGGTTCATCTGTCGCTGTTGTGCCTGCATCTGCATTGCCGCTTGATTGCCGCCAGCATTAGCACCGGCCTGGCCCTTCCAAGCCTGCAAGATCTGATTCTGAAAGAAGAAAAGGACCGGATCCATATTCTCTTGCTGTAGTGATTGCAGTTGCTGTTGGCTCAGTTTCGTTTGCAGCATCATCCGAAGTTGAGTTCGTTGTGGCTCCCCGGTCTGATTCAGTCTCGCTAGAGCCAATTGCGTAACTTTCGTCCTATCTTGAGCTGATAGACTTGCCATGGCCGGATGCCCCGGCATCTGTGCGCGCATCTGCATTCCCTGCTGGCTTGGGTTCATAGAGAGTCCTCCCGGGCCACCCATGCCCATACCAGCTTGATGGGGCTGCTGGGGAATCGGGGAGGGCTGCATTTGCTGCTGAAGATGCTGGAATCCCTGGGTTGGTTGACCCATCCCTCTCGACATCATCCCTTGGTTCATCATCATTTGTGCTTGAGCCTGAGCAGCAGCCTGTGCGTTTAAGCTATGCTGAAGACTATGTTCATGGGCTTGTCTTTGCTTGAAGAGCTCTTGGACGCGACCGCCAATCTTCTGGTCGTAAGTCCCCTATGCAAAGCATTAGTTATAAATATTTCATAATGAAGAGAAAGAATAAGAGTCTCACCTTATCCGGCGAATTCAGGAAGGCATCTCGTTCGAAAGTTAGCCCGGACATTATGAGTTGCTGTGAATCAACAGCAGGCATGGCAAGGAATGAATTAGATATCCTAAAGAATGTGTTAGCACAAACAGTTTGTTTATAATGACAGTATTAAGTTGTTCATGTTCCGATTTGAAAAACAGAAGGACCTACAGGTTCATTGCGTTGCTCACGCGCATGTTCGCCTGAACCTGGTCTTGCCAGCCTCCATTATGATTCGGCTGTTGCTGTTGCGCCATCATCTGCGTATAGACGAGGTGCGATAGCTGCTGATGAGGCGGCCGCGGCCGTACAGCGCCGCCAGCCATCTGTGGCATATTGGCGGCCATGGCCGCGGGAGAAAATAACTTCGGTCAAGTCGTAAACGACAGTAGAACGCAAGATCGTTATATCCTAGGAGACCGAGCTAGTTAAGCTTAAAGCAGGTTATCCGAAGTTATCCTGCTTTACAGGGTGTTTAAGGTCCTAGCGAGGTCACGATATTGTGCTGCTTATGCAAGATCGTCAATGATTCCTTGGCAATGAGGCAAGAATCCGTCCTAAGGCAGCCCACAACCTAGATTGATCCAACTTAGTCCATCCAGTACTGAGTATGTGAGACCTGCGCTGAATTCGTCAAGGTTGGAATAAGTGCACTATAATGTGCCAGTCCGAAATAATTCGTCCAGATAAGCTTCAGACAACAAGATGCCTAGAAGCTAGCGCTCAATAGGATAAACGTAGCCTGATAATCCGGAATATGAATCGGCTCTCATATGCGATAGTAGAATTAGCACTGTCGCCTCCTTGCAGGCCGAGTATCGATCGAGAGTTGAAAGTATATGTAGTCGTTTAGGAAAAAGTCGCTGGGCCGTAGTCGTCCTTAAACGGGTCGCGTAATGTTCGTATGCAGATTCCGCGCACTTTGGAAGGTGAAGGTGATTCTCTTAATAACTATTGGGGCTGGCGAAGACGGGATAATTCAGTTATAGATACGTTATCCGATCGTTGATTTTGAAGAGGACGTCGTGGCTGAAGCGAGGCGCGAGGTACGAGGAACGACTTCGAGGTCGAATGTTAGTATTGGTAAATCACGTATATCGAGATTTAATGACATAAATGTTGAGGCGATGGAGTCTCCGAGTGGGCGAGCCAGCGTTATAAAAACGATTAGGGCGAACAACGAGGCAGGTGAGAAGAAAAAATCAGGCATCTATCTTCTTGGTAGGGAAGACGGAAAACCCGGGCGAAGAGAGAAAGAAAGAAGTGAGAATGATGACAGAGATTCGTGGTGATGGTGGTAGGTAGAGAAGAAGAAAGGCGGCAGTGGGAAAATGGGTAGACGGTAGAACGGTAGAGAGATGTAGGCCCTTGGCTGGGACACTCAATCCAAACAAGGTTGCCGCGTGCAAGTAGTGAATGATCGATGACCAATAGTGGGAATTGAAATATTGGAAAAAGTGGGCCACTTGGGGATCTCCCACTGACTAACAGCGACTAAGGTGCATCAAGGTACTGTATGCTGGTAGGTACCTGCCCGCTAGCGTATGGTACTGTACAGTACTGTGCAAGCTGATTGGCTGCGGCAGGGGTATCCCTAGCCCCTCCAGTAGCGGATTTATACTTTGCAGTACGTGGGTGTACTTGTCACGGTACCTACTATGGTACCTAGGTAGCGACAGCAAGGTCTGTCATTTTCAGAAAACCTCCAGCGCTGCGTTGTACATTAACCTCGCTTCTCTTCGCACTGCGACACTAGAAGTAAGGTATCAAAGCCAGCCCGATCAATACGAAGATGAACGCGAAGACTTGTGTGCGCTCAAGCTCATATTCACCCAGGCAGCCAGGTATAATAGGTATATAATAGGTAGACAGAAAGGTAGGTAACGAATTCTGCGTGCTGCGCCCGAAACCGATTCGCAGGCAATTAAATATCGCGGTGTAAAGGGAAGCTGGAAGGACATGGAGGACGTAGCCTTATAGGCTAAGTGTGATAGGGTAAGAGGAGATATGTAGGCATGTATGAAGGCAGAGAGACAGTGAAGGAAGCAAAGGAATATGAGACTTACCAAATACGATGGTTGATGTCTCGTGTAGAATTCTTCAACGGGCTATCAGACGGCGGAAAGTATACGGGGTATGAGGGAGTTGAGGAGGATTATGGAATATGGGAGATTTGCAACTGGCGTGTCGGAACGGCGGTTGCAAAGTGGTTCAGGCTTGGGGGTCTTGGCAGATGAAAGAACTGTAAAGGATCTAGGTATGTAATAATGTAATATGTTGCGAAAAGGTGAGAAGAGGAAAATTTGTGGAAGGGAAAAATTAAATAAAGGATAAGAATAATAAAATAAAATAAAGGCCAAAGCTTGTTCACACTTACCTTGAGAATTCTGGATACCTGTGTGCGTAGTATGTAGGTATGTATATAAAGTTCTTGGGTACCAGATAGTAAGTGAGGTCCAAGGTTGGAGTGAAGCGGTCACCGAAATGATGAATAGGAAGAAGTGTGACCTGTTTGGGGTTGGAAGTTGGCTCCAATCAATTGTGTTGCTGCTTCTCAAATCCCAAATATTCAAATCTGGCAGTCTACTATGTACCGGTTCCAAGTTATGTGTGTGTACATATGTACCCAGGTACCTGCTTGGTCAGGTACTCAGGTACTTTGAGCTATACTATGGTACATGCAGACATGATTCTACCTAGGTACTAAAATTCGTGCACGAACGGTCAGGACCCTGCTTTAATCTTGAAGCCTTCTAAAGTCACTCAAATTCTAACGTTAAGCACTTACTACGTACTGTGTATGTATTTCGAGGACAAAGGGGAAAACACACCAATTATCAAAGTGAATAAGGTTACTACTAGTAGTGTCAAGTGTCACAAGTTTTTATAAACATCACTTTTTATATTAGGGAATTCAATAAGAATACATACTTACCTACCCATTTAATTTACCAACGTATATTTAATTTGTATAGAAAAAGACAGAGAAGAATCGGTCGCAGGTCGATATAGTAGTTAAGAGAGGAAGAAAAGAGGCAGTACTTCATCAATCTGACGAAATGAGGCAGGTTCATTAGACAGGGATTACATGCAGCATTTTGGCTTCGAAAAAGGCACCTGCAACTCGATTGTGCTAGGTTGGAACTTAGAGCTACTTGCCATTGCCACTAAAGCAAGTTAGTCTTAGGTCATTGCCAGGTATTGTGCAGTACATATCTAAATGCATAGTTGATGTACCTATTTAAGTCTAAATATGAGCATTAGTACACATGTCTAGGAGCATATAAAGTACCTAGTAGCAGCGGAGGTTCACGAACACTGATCAAGCATTGGCTAGGAACCTTGGAATCTGCATGCAAACTCGATGAATCTTCCTCTCTTCTTTTTTTATTCTACTAGAGTCGAGAAGCTATTCCACTTTTCATCCGCCCTTTTCCTTTTCCTCCAAGTCCATACCATTCTCATTCTTGCCCCCACGATTCATCTACTATTATAGATAACCCTTATCTTACCTTCACCTGTGTAAAACTTCGCCTATGAACTACATGCCACGTTAGCTGGCACTTTCGAGAGCGCAAAATAATAAGTAGTATGCTGTTCAGCAATGCTAGGGACCAGAATAACATGAAGGTATCATCCAACATCGCCCCACGTTTCAGCGCAATTGATAAATAATTACCATAAGTGTTTCTTCTTATTCCCTGCTTGAATTCCAACAACCCACAGAACCCTCACGCCCCCCCTAAAACGCTTCACCATCGTATTAAAAAGTTTCAACCATTAATGAGATCGAGCCTACTTGGTAGGGAATTCTAGTTCCCATGAGAATTCTACTGTCTTGCTTACTTGCTAAAGCAATTCTATTTTTTTCCCCATCACTTCCTTCTTCCATGACCGGCTAGCTTGGCCCTTGAAAGCAAACAGCCTCCAACTTGAACCGGCTGCTAAGTGGTACCTATGTACGCAAAGGTGGGTATGACGAATACGTGCTAACCCCGTGAGAAAGGGAATATTAGCGGTAGCATGACCCTATATCGTGTCACGCCAGCATCTTGTCCATACGCTGAGGTCCTTTCTAATCCACCTCATGCTCAGTGTCGACGCCTTCACCAACATTCATTCAACATCAATACAAACCCAGCTGAGACGTTGATATAATTGATGGATAAGCTTTAATCATCTAGTCTCATGCTATCGTTTGTTTCTTTATTGTGGGCAACGTTTCCTTGAAATCGCTGACGAGCTCGAAAATATCTTAGGGGTTCTTATGATATACAATGCCGACCAAGGTGTTGGTAAGGAGGTCCACATGGCAAAAGTATTATATGTAAGGTGAGGCATCTCAATGTGCGATACAGTCATGGATACTGCATCATAAGCACGGCGTAACTACCTACCTATACAAGGTACCACGTACGCAAAATGGATGAGTCGAGTCAGCCTTATACTATGTTAGCTCAGCTCGGCCAGTTCCTGTGTCTACCTGATTCTAAGGCTAACCATTATTCTCCGGCTACTGCCTACGGATACCCATTGAAAGTTTCTTCCACCTGAGAGAATTGCAGTGTATTAATTGTAATAACTACCTATGTATAATAAAGAAAAAGAAGATAAGCGGCGAAAACTCTCTGCCCCTTTATCAATGCCAACCCAAGTAAACAGCTGGAGTTTACCTCCATCTATTGTAGATGGGACATACCTATCTTGCCAGGTATCTATCAACAGAACGCTTACTTGCGTGGATTTGATGCCCCTCGCCCCCACCACACCATCACGATGCGCATAGAGGCATACTGTATATCCTTGGTAACCTTCGGTATTGCGAAGAACTCGTTGACTTGACTCGCGGGGCGAAGTAGCTTGTTTAGTAATCCCGTGCCGGTCCCGAAAGTACAAAGGAGTGTGAAGTAAACCCGCATGGATGTATGCCAGGACGGAAAATAAAAGATGGAAAAACAGATTGCATTCCGGCAAAGTTACCTTAAATATTCCTATTCCTACATCAACCTGACGTTCTATTTAAGGTTGATAGGTTGTCAAACCTGCGGGTTCGGGAAGAAGCATTGGAGTCGACGAATCGAAAATAGATTCAGCTCTTGCTGTCCCCCTTTGTTTCAGAAGGTGTCAGAATTGTCCACCCGATCTTTCACCTCCGCGTTCAAAAGATCGGGAGAGGTTCCAGCCTCTGCTACCGAATCTATGTACACAAGCATCCGCCGAATATTCTGCCCAAAGAGTGAAGGAAAATCCCTTCCAACGCTCAGGCTTTTTAACCGGTCGTAGTTGAGATATATTAACAGGGCTCCCGTACCTACTAAAATGTCCAAATAAGCCAAGACGTTAGGTAAGCACAGATCGCCAACTCCGCCACTTCTGCTGACTAGAATGGACACTATCCTCGAAAGAATCGAGAGGCTTATGAGGTTTCCAAGTATGGTGGGCTGAATTGACATAACAGATACAAGGCTGGCCTGTACTAACTTCAGACAAATGAAAAGATGGAGGCATCGAAACATCGGGCAAAATTAAGTCAATCGTCTTCCTCGATACCGTATTTCGTCAATTATCTTCAACATCAATGTTCGCAACCTGGTTGTCTGATGACCCCGTACATATGGGGCATTGCTTTATTAATGTATGATAGGTCTGTGGTTATTTTATGATGCTATTAAACTAGTTGATGGTCTCGCGGGACGCGATGATTTGAATGCGGTAAATACCACGTTAAGCAACCTCATTATTTGGGATTTTATAGGTACAATGTTTAATAGGGCCCAGTCTTTTGGGACCCACAACCTTCGTGTCGACAAGGCACGCAAAGCCTGGTAACCCAGTTCTGCCCAGTAAGAAGCATGTAAGGTATGTAAGTAAATACACTCATTACCTTTAGTCTAGGTTTGTAGTTGTAAATCAGTCAACATGAATGAACTATCATGCTCGACTTCAAGACGCAACGCTTAGAGATTGGGTGCCTAAGACAAGTTCTGTCCTGCACGATGGGGCATCTGTGTGATCGACGGTCTCCCCCACGGGCAGGCTGGATGGCAGGCTGGGCTACTGGTATCGACGAAACGCCATCAACGTTTGGACGCTGGATTGTGTAGGTAGCTTGCCCGTTACAAATCCAGACGATGGACAAACCAGTATCCTAGAGAGACAAACCAACGAAGTTCGCGCCAATGCGCTATACGCACCGTATTTGAATTAAAGCTATAGAAACATCGATTCGGTGTTTTTCAACTGGATAATGGCTTAGACGAGTGGGCAGTGACACGCGTTTCAAGCGTTGAGTATTAGGTGCGCATTCGTGTGCGCTGATTCCTCTCAATTATCACGACGCTGATCTGAGCATGGCGATTGCTCTAGTCAACGCCCCTTGCCTCAAAGGGACCCCTGATTTTCCAGGGTATGCTAGACAGGATTGGTTCGATGTTATGATTGGCCGCCTTTTGGAAGAATGAACAAGGCGTATCACCAAGTACCGAAATTGTGAGCGAAGTACCGCGGTGTGTACATTACATACATTATTTAGCATACCGAACGATTTCATACTGTATGCGCATGGCTGCGTACGAATCACGTTGCGTCTGCCCACGAATATGCCTCTTACACAAACTTGGATAAGCTGTCAAGGATTAGTATCAAGCATCGCGATAATCGGTAGTATAGCGGTGCAATCTCTTCAAGATCATAACCTCTTAGAAAGGGGGGGGGGGGGGGGGGGGGGGGGGGGGGGCGGGGGGGGGGAGGGGCGGGGGGGTGGGGGGGGTGGAGGAAGCGTGACCAAGCCAAGAAATTGGGGGGGGGGGTGGGC